TGATGATCAACATCAGTACTACTAGTGGTGATCAAGAACAGTACACTACTATTATAAAGACATGGAGAGAAAGTTTATAATATATATTCCTCTCTCTTTTGTGTATCTTTAAAGTTTAATTTTATTTAAACTATGAAACAAAAATATCACTTTGAACACACATATTGAAAGTGAATCTAGAACTCACACAAAAACATTCTCCCTTAAAACCTACCCAGCTACTTACCGGACAGTAGTGGCAGGTCTTCAAAAATGCCATCTTCAGATGACGGAGGCTCTGCGACAGTGTCCTCGGCCAGCAGCAGCAGGTCAGGCGTGACCGCGGCAACAGCACCCTCGCGGCCGCCGCATCCCACTAGCGTACGGGAACCACGCAAGTCGTAGTCGTCCCAGTGATAACCTGAAAGGTACCCCGGGGGGAAAGGAGCCAGTGTTAACATATGTAGTGGTAGTAGTCGTGGTGAGTTACGTCAGGGAGGTTAAAACCAGGCAAAAGAGATAGAATTAATTTTGGAAATGCATGTTTTTTGTTGAAATTAATAATAATTACTCTGTACATGCTAAATATCTTTCCTTGGCAGGGTTCTTCCTACTCACTGAAACTAGTGACACATGCTGTGAAACCTAAGCTTGTGAACACACCTTATCATGCATTAATATTCCAAATGATGTCCATAATCAAAGGAATGAAACTAATGTACATCAACTAAATCATAAATGTGTCTACGTGCAAATAAGCTAATTACAGATATTGTATACACTGCAATACTAACTACTGTAAGTGATCTTCAAATGAGAAAACATACGAACTAAACTGATAAGCTACGTGATAAAATAGAGAGCTTCAGCAATAGCTACCTTTCTTCTTGGCCTGTGTCGGAGCTGCGTGCAGGGAGAGACAAAAGAAAAATTGTTTACTTTCTAATATAAAAGATATGTACAAATTTGATATTCATTCAGATATATCATGAGGCTGTTCTTCAAACCCGTGAAGACTGAGTTAGAGCGCAGAAGGAAGAGCAAATCATAGCTATCATTGGAAAGTTTGTGTAACTGCTGTTAATAACTCATCTTAAATTAAAAACAAAATTCTCATTAGTTTCTCTTGTATTTAATTACTGGTGAATATTAATGTTTCTTCTTTTTAAAACTACTTAGTATTAAACATCTTTATATACTAATGTGTAATAAACTGTAACTCAGAATCTACGTTTTGTAGTGTTGTGTATTTCAATATTTGGTGTATTTAATGAAATAAACATAAACTAATATAATATTTGTTAGGTACTGTACACTCAACCTACAGGTATTCGATTGTTAAAAAAAATATGACTTCTCTCAAAAGAAAAACAAAACATGCAAAATCATCGATTAACATTCTGTAGTCTTGTCCATCATATTTTGTGGTTAAACTGTTCAGGTAGGTATTATGTTAATGTTAAAATCATAAGGCTTTGGAGCACAGATAAACTTAATTATTAGTAATATTAATGTGACACAATTACCAAGTATACAATACTGGTACAGTTATATCGTAAATATACCCGACATGAGAACTGCGTGTCGAGCACAACTCCTGGGGTGTCACTCCGTCTAGTGAGTGTTTAAATGAAGGTATCAAACAGGGTATGACAGTCCACACATTAATAGTTACCAGGGGATCAACATCAAGTTCCACTCAACACTAAATGGACCTCAAGACCTAACTTACGATATCCTTTATAAAGTCTCTTAAATCCTCCATTATCCCCAGCGACCCTTGTGTCGTGTCCCCCAACACCCGCAGCCCGGGGAGGGGAGGAACGGGGGTAGCCAGTGGGGTTGTCTATGGTGATGACTTCTAGTGGGTGGCAGAGGTCTGTCCTGCCCCGACGACCCAGGAGAGAGGGGCGGGGCAAGGGGGGCACAATGGGCGGTGATGACCCCCTTCCACACACTGTAGCCAAGCGCAGGCACTCGGAATTAACACTCATTGTACAACACTTTTGTTAATATATATCACTGATAATATTTCACAATAATTCAAACCGCGACGTCAGTTGTTTTTATGAATTTATTAAACAAGTGTTTTACGTGATGTTCTAAAGAATCACCACTGACATTTCACAGAGAGTCTTCAACTAAATTCAAATTTGCTTAAAGAAACGGAATCAACATAAACAGGAGAGCAGCATGTAGGTAAATGTGAGATATTTTTAATATATTTGTTGAAATAACATTATTATGAAATGTGAAGCAAGCATGCTATTAGAGAGCGTGAGCTTCATGTGGGTACTGTACTGTACGTCGGGTGTTGTTGTCATCATGCTTCAGCACGTTGTGTCATCACCAACGTGTGTGATGCAGGCTTCCAGGCCATCACAGCCAGGTGCTAACATGATGCTATCAGCTACACTGACTCAGCTCCTTCTGTTTGACCGGGCATCATGGTCTGACATAACAATCATGACTCACTTTGTATGCACTGTATGACCCACGTAATTCATAGCAACTCTCCTAAGTAGAAGAGGAACTTACTCTATAACTCCACAAAGAAAAATATAGAAAAGGCAGTAGTGATGAACTTCAGGAGGAAAAGTGTATTGTCTTATAGGATATATATATATATATATATATATATATATATATATATATATATATATATATATATATATATATATATATATATATATATATTTCATGTAGATCCACAATGAAAAAGTGGATAAGATAAATCTTGATAAAATCACACGGAAAAAGGGAAACAACGGAGCACCTTAGCTTTCGTCTTTATTCAAGACATCTTCAGAGGCAACTCATAAGACGAAAGCTAAGGTGCTCCGTTGTTTTTCTGTGATTTTATCAAGATATACAGTATATATATATATATATATATATATATATATATATATACACAGTTTGTATTTGCTATTAATTGTTCCTAGGGGTGAATATACAGTATTTAGCTCAAGACAGCGAGGTATTTGTCTGAAAATTACAAGCTGCAGCTTGAGGCAGAAAACATGTGCGAGACGCAAGAAGCAACAAATGTGTATCGTCCTGGGCTGCAGCCACTGTGGTAGCCGCTGTGTAAGTCTTTTCAGTATGGAGGGACTTGAGCAGTAGTCACATGCTATACGAGGTAAATATCACTGCATTTCCTCACAAGTTGCTAGATATACCAACAACAGAACAGAGAATAAACCTTGTTGTGCATCTGAATATTATTTACATTCCAGAAGTGTTTGTTTTATTAACATGAACCAGGATACCTCAAAGGGGAAAATTATTTACAATACGTTATGATAGAAAAGGGCAGAGGGAGCGTTTGTGTGTTTACACACATATATATATATATATATATATATATATATATATATATATATATATATATATATATATATATATATATATATATATATATATATATATATTATATATATATATATATATATATATATATATATATATATATATATATATATAATGTGTGTGTGTGTATGGGCATCCATGCACGTGTAGGCATAAGAGTGGTGATGGAAAGGAGGCAGGAGGTGAATCATACCTGAAGAGTCGTCCGAAAAAGGCGAGTGCTGGCCGGGAGATGAGCGACTCTCGCCTAGGTTAGTCACCAGGTCACAGCCTACATCTGGGAACACAAAAAAGCCACACGTGCTGTATGTACAACCAAGCACCTCGAGCACCACTACTTTCACCCACTAAGTTACCAGGCACAAGGCTCACTAAGATTAATTATTGCATGGTGAGGTACACATGACAAGAGTGCCATCTGAACGACAAAATAAATGATTAGTGTTCTAAACTCAGTTACAGTAAGGTGAAGCCACAGTATAGCGCGTCACAACGGGAACAGCATTTCCTGGCAAGGTCATACTTACCATGGCCAGGGCTGCTTATCATTGCCAGTTCATACTTTCTAGTGGCCAGGAGTACTTACCATGGCCGGTTCTTACTTTCTCATGACCAGGGCTCCGTATCATCGCCAAGGTGCACTTTGTCACGGCCAAAAATATAATTTATCGCGGTCAGGTCTAAGTTTCTTATAGTGAGGTAGTACTGGATCGTGGCCAGGGCATAAGGTCAAAGAACGTGCAGAGTTCAATGGCCCGAAAATTGATTAAAGAGATTCGGTATAATGGCCAAGACATTTTATAATGGCCAGGACAGTATATCCTTGCCAGGACATTATATCATGGCCAGGATATTATATCATGGTAGGGATAGTATATCCTGGCCAGGACATTATATCATGGCCAAGACATTATATCCTGGCCAGGACATTATATCTTGGCTAGGACATTATATCATGGCCAATACATTACATCATGACCTGAGTACTGTATCATGTCCAGGCCAAAGTATCACGGCCAGGAAACTATTTCATAGCGAGGAAAATATATTACAGCACTGCGAATATGTGAGTCAGGGCCAGGACACTGTGTGTGTGTGTGTGTGTGTGTGTGTGTGTGTGTGTGTGTGTGTGTGAGGGCCAGGACAGTGTGTGTGTGTGTGTGTGTGTGTGTGTGGAGGGCCAGGACATGTGTGTGTATGTATGTGAGGGCCAGGACACAGTGTGTGTGTGTGTGTGTGTGTGTGTGTGTGTGTGAGGGCTAGGCCACAGTGTGTGTGTGTGTGTGAGGGCCAGGACACAGTGGGTGAGGGCCAGGACACAGTGTGTGAGGGCCAGGACACAGTGGGTGAGGGCCAGGACACAGTGGGTGAGGGCCAGGACACAGTGGGTGAGGGCCAGGACACAGTGTGTGAGGGCCAGGACACAGTGGGTGAGGGCCAGGACACAGTGGGTGAGAGCTGGGTCACAGTGGGTGAGAGCTGGGACACAGTAGGTGAGAGCTGGGACACAGTGTGTGAGAGCTGGGACACAGTGGGTGAGAGCTGGGTCACAGTGGGTGAGAGTTGGGACACAGTGGGTGACAGCTGGTGACAGTGCTGGTCATTATTCCTGGTCAGATGTGTGAACGAATGTAACTCACAACATTACAGGAATAACTTAAAAAATAAACTTACCGCCCATCCATATGAACCATTTAAAGCTCTCATGTCTAACACAAATCTTCCTAAGTACACGCCCACAGTGGCGAGTAGTCACTAGATCAGTACACGCCCACACACTGGCGAGTAGTCACTAGGTCAGTACACGCCCACACAGTGGTGAAGAGTCACTAGGTCAGTACACGCCCACACAGTGGACTTCCTGGAGTAATTCAACTGCCACCGTTGCTGTCATATCAGACACTATTACTACTGGTCACTGTCACATAAGAGTGTACCGTTATAAAACCTCATAATTGTCTTTACTTTAGTTAACCATCAATTCCCTTTGCTTGTGTTTCGATAAATAATCGTAAACGTACAGTAGAGTAAATATTTGTAACGTTATTTGTAATATTTAATTTACGATATTTTTATTTAAAGAAATTTGAATCTTAACTGTGAGAAAGGTGGCCAGGGCTGTTACCTCATCCTTCACGAGGAAACTACACCTAAGAAACTGACTAACTTTTGGTATAATTACCATAAGGCTGGCTTAGCCGCCACTTTGTTATGAACAACTGAAATCACTTTAGTGCTCTATAGATTAAAGGGGCGCATCGGTTGAATGCATAAATCACTCCTCTCCTGACCTAACAGTAGCAGGTTCGAGTCCCGCAACCGGCCACTGAGTGGAGCAACCCCAGTTGACCCAGCTGCATGATGAATACCCTAACTTACAGATGGAGAAATGATAGGCAGGGGAGGGAGCGCTGGCCACGTGTACCTAAGGCTTAGTCTTCAAGGTGCTGTAACCACCCCTCCCCATACGGGCCTATGGTACCACTTCCTGAAGGTCCAAATATATTGAATACGGTTGTGAAGCCATAACAATACTGGCCTCTTTTTCATAATGATCATTCAGTAACATAAATCTAGCAGTCATTTATTAAACGGAAATCTGTGTTTAGCGGTTGGTGATAACTCCTGTGAGTAGACGGCATTTCAGCGCACAAAAACGGAGGAGGAAGTAAAAGGATTAAAACATAGAGTAAAAAAAAAATATTCAGTTCAAAATAGAAATCCTAGGATGGGACTCACTAACCTGCCACGGTAAACTAGTTAAAACTCTTGGGAGAAGGTTAAAGGTTGTATGAATGTTACTTAGACGAAAAACTACAGCTTCCATCACAAAGCAGCGGAAGGGGTGAAGGGTGGAGGATGAAGCAGGAAGAGAAGTAAGAAGAAAGGAAGAAAGATGGAAGAAGGGTGACAAGATAATGAGGCAGTTGGGACGAAGGGGGAGGTAAAACAATAGAAATAAAACTGGAAGGAGGCAGAAGGGATACAAAGATGGAGGAGGGGTAGAAGAATATAGGAAGGTGGTGCGTGGATGAAGGACTGGGTGGGATGATATAGGATGCACAGTAAACGAGGAGGGTGTCGGGAAGAGGTGAAACAACAGAGAAGATTATGGGAGTATGAGGGATGGATCTACATGGTGAGGAAGAGGTGTGAGAGAATATTGGAAGGGGTGGGAGGAGAGGGAGGGAAGATATATGTGCGGTAGGGGAAGGAGGAGAGGCGATGTATGACGGGGTAGAAGGATTGGGAAACTGTAGTTATGGTGGGGAGCAGGAGGAGAGGCGATGTATGACGGGGTAGAAGGATTGGGAAACTGTAGTTATGGTGGGGAGCAGGAGGAGAGGCGATGTATGACGGGGTAGAAGGATTGGGAAACTGTAGTTATGGTGGGGAGCAGAGGAGAGATGATGTATGACGGGGTAGGCGGATTGGGAAACTGTAGTTGGTGGTGGGGAGCAGGAGGAGGAAAGTGATGGGCGACGGGGGTAGAAGGATTGGGAACTGTAGTTATGGGGAGCAGGAGGAGAGGCGATGTAGACGGGGTATAAGGATTGGGAAACTGTAAAGGCGTGGTGGGAGCAGGAGGAGGCGATGTATGACGGGGTAGAAGGATTGGGAACCGTAGTTAAGTGGTGGGGAGCAGGAGGAGAGGCGATGTATGACGGGGTAGGAAGGATTGGGAAACCGTAGTTAAGTGGTGGGGAGAAAGGAGGAGAGGCGATGTAGACGGGGCAGGAAGGATTGGGAAATCAGAAGTTAAGTGGTGGGAGCAGGAGGAGAGGCGGATGTATGATGTGTAGAAGGATTGGGAAATCGTAGTTATGGTGGGGAGCAGGGGAGAGGTGATGTATGACGGGGTAGAAGGATGGGAAACTGTAGTTATGGTGGGGGAGCAGGAGGAGAGGCGATGTATGACGGGGGTAGAAGCTGGACTGGGAAACCAAAGGCGGTGGGAGCAGGAGGAGAGGCGATGTATGACGGGGTAGAAGGATTGGGAAACTGGGAAGCGTGGTGGGGGGAGCAGGAGGAGAGGCGGATGCATGACGGGGTAGGAAGGATTGTGAAACTGTAGTTATGGTGGGGAGCAGGAGGAGAGACGATGTATGGATGCAGGAAGGATTTGGGAAACTGTAGTTATGGTGGGGAGCAGGAGGATAGTGATGGGCGACGGGGTAGAAGGATTAAACTGTAGTTATGTAGGGGAGCAGGAGGAGAGGCGATGTATGACGGGGTAGAAGGATTGGAAAACTGTAGTTATGGTGGGGAGCAGGAGGATAGGTGGTAATGGCGGAGGCGGAAGTGGATAAACACGGGATAAAGTGAGAACATGGAAGATGGGGTAAGAAGAAGAAGAGAGACGGAGGGAGGGAGAGAGGGAAGAAGGATTTGAAAACTAGAAAGGTTATGTACAGTACACAATAAAAAAAAGTTTGAAGAACACGTTGTATTATGGCGTGACTGTGATGACTGACTTGATGTATGAGTGTGTGTGTGTGTGTGTGTGTGTGTGTGTGTGTGACTGTCTTGGAGTGTGTTGATGTATGAGTGTGTTGTCTGTCGTACCGTGTGTGTGTGTGTGTGTGTGTGTGTGTGTGTGTGTGTGTGTGTGTGTGTGTGTGTGTGTGTGTGTGTGTGTGTGTGTGACTGTCTTGGGTGTCTTAATGTATGAGTGTGTTGTCTGTCGTACTGTGTGTGTGTGTGTGTGTGTGTGTGTGTGTGTGTGTGTGTGTGTGTGTGTGTGTGTGTGTGTGTGTGACTGTCTTGAGTGTCTTCATATGAGTGTGTTGTGTATCGTGTGTGAGAGGTACAGAGTATATGAGCATTTCACTTTTATATATGATTCCTTTATGTATTTTGAGACAGAGAGAGAGAGAGAGAGAGAGAGAGAGAGAGAGAGAGAGAGAGAGAGAGAGAGAGAGAGAGAGAGAGAGAGAGAACCATGAATTTATTTAGAAAAAACAAATAATGGGAATGCCATAAGAACATGTATGGTTAAAATTATAAATATTGAAGATAAAGCAAAAAACTAATTAATGAAATACGGAAAAGGAGCATGGAAATTTACAAGCTTAATTTCTTGTATGGTTAACACCAAGGTAGTTTAGATTACGTAAATCACGTCTTTCTGTCTGGAACCGGTAAAATAATGGTCACTTTTATAGTTGAGAACTAATATAGATACATTACGACAATAGTCAACACAGACACAGAGCATCGGCTGTACTAACGAGCCTTCCATGTTGTATGTTGTACAGAACCTATAGTGGAAACTATGTAGTCACATGCAGACTTGGGGGAGTAAGTGAAGCGGTGTGTGGGCTAGTGTGAGCTGGCGGCCCACTGAGAACCATCGTATCACCAGATGACTTCCCCTTGTGTTGTTTAACAAGTATTTAATTAACAAATTATCAAGAAGCCATTTCTTATAACACAGCATAACATATCAGTTTGTAATATTGAACAGAACAAAACACTTCAAGCCAACCAAGTTCCATTTAACAGTTACTGAGTCTGTCTGCCAACATTAAGTACTACATCATCACGGAAATCTACTAATGTATAAAAAAAAAGAACAGCTTGCAATTTGAACAAAATATATAGGAAAACGGATTCTAAATAAATCGAAAATAAGAGGCTAAATAAGACAAAATAAATGAGAGCAGAGGTACACGCATAACCATCCACAACATAACAAACATTGTAATGAAGAAGAAGCAACTGATTGCCTGAATCATAAGTTTATATCTGCAGGATGCTGAGTGGCCGCCTCTCTGATGTTGCTCCTTTAACATCACTTTCTTGCCTTATCAACGTGTGCTTCGGTATCCACCCCAATACTATTAAGAGCGACCTTACTCAATGGAATTCTATAATATCTACAGAACTGCAGCCTTAGTGGCCATTATGACGACGATATTCAAAGTAAGGAGAAGTTAAAGGTTGGTGCGACACACTGTGCGTCAGGTGATGCAGTGTGTCTACCTGATGCTGTTCACTGCCAGTCACTCGCGTCACATTATATACCTCTTCATTAAATATTCAAATCTTACATGTGACTAATAATGCCTTTTTTTTCTTTAGTTTACTATACGTGTATGACAGACCATTCTCTTAATTGTGTTACTAGAAACTTAACATAAACATTCTTATGATATCGTGATTGATTGATAGAATATTGGTTAAATTTCTCTTGCAGCAAAGTTTCAATGACTCAAAAGATCACGATGCAAAAGCACCCTGTTGAAAGTAATTTTCTTAACAACTGAATGGTTTTAAGTAAAAAAAAAATAACAAAATGAAAAAAAAATAAAATAAACTATGCTATTTGTCCTCATCACAGAGTTAGTAAGCACCACACCGCTTCAACTTGGAGACTGTGTTAGCTAAGCCTTGTTATCAACTCATCCATAGGATAAGTTCACCGTAATAATAGAGGCTGAAGTAGGTCTCAGGTGTGTGGTCCTGCAACAGTGAGCGAGTATACTTGATGTACAGGTTGACAGTACAGTGCAGCGGGAGTCGGTCCTCAACAATTCAAAATTCGACAACAGATTACTTTAGTAAAGTCTATGTTAAACTATAAAGCTAATCTGATAAACTGCAGTTTGCTCGGCGAAGCCATCTTGAAGGATAATGTCTTACTAAATATATGTGACATTTTTAGTTTGTAACAAGAATCGAGTAATGGATAATGAAACCCAAAAGTAAATGTTAACGCCCACACACCGATAATTAATTAATTAATGAGCTGAATCAGAAGACTGACTGTCCTGTGTGACGTGTCAAAAACAGGTGAATATTTATAGCTTTTTGTGTATTGACAGTCACACTGTGAGTGACTCACCCTTGATGGGCATGAAGTACGAGTCATTAAGGTTGTTGTGGTGATCCCAGGGCTTGTGGAGCGAGTCCGAATCACTGTTGGAGGGGGGCGGCGGCGAGAGGTTGGGCGGCACTACCACAGGCTTGTTAAGGCTGTGAAGAAACTCGTGAGAGCACCTGGACAGAGTCTCCAGCTCCAGACTCTCGTGACCCGCTGCGGACAAGTCGGCCAGGTGCTTGAGGGTGTTGAGTATGACGGAGTCGGTGCCACTGGGGGTGTAGGAGGCCGGGCGCGGAGGCAGCGGGGGACCCTGCTGTGTGCCGCAAGAGCAACGAAAGGAAAGGGAACTCAAAACAGGCAAGTAAATGAAAGAAATAAGAAGCAAATAATCAAGTGTGTCGGACAAAGTATCTGAAGATAACTATAAAAAATTAAAATGTAGACGTGTTCTACAGTATCTATATCTACATGAAAATAATATATATAATCCATAAAAACGCGACCATTACCTGGTCAGCTTCCACGTTGCAAATTTTGGAATTTCTCTTTGGCGCATCATTGGCCTTGAGGTCATTCTTGACATGGTGGTCAGTGAGCTTGATGCGGTTGTTCTGTTGGTGACGCTTATGTCTCCATCGTCGTCGTTGCCAGGCCACCAGTAGCAACATGGCCACCACGCAGCCTAGGAACACAGCCAAGATGCATACAAGTTCTTCCAGGGTGATGTTGAGGGCAGAGGATGGAGCTGGAGGTTTCTTTATCGACTCCGTGCAGTACTCACCAGTAACATTCGCAGAACATATACACTTGAACCCTCCATAGAAGTTAAGACAAGTGCCACCACTCTGACACGGGTTACGAGTACACTCATCAATATCTAACTGACACATGACACCTGTGAAATGCTGACACTTACATATTGGTCCTTCAGCACCTTCCTCACACCGACCACCATTTTGACATGGATTAGGGTTACAAAATACTCCGTACTCACAACGTTTTCCACTTAATTTTGACGGACACTGGCAGTTGTATGAATGACCAACAACAATACATTTACCTCCGTTAAGGCAAGGCGAGGAGGAGCAAGGCGCTGTATCAACTTGACACTGGGCACCAGTGAAGCGTGGAGGACAAGTGCACTTATAAGATTTTCCGTTTTCGATACAAGTACCACCATTGAGGCAGGGATATGACCCACACACACCGGCGGGAGGGAGCGTACTAGGACACTGCAGTTCTACATTAGCTAAACGTTTGAGTACAGCACCACCAGATGAAGATCCTGTTATGCTTACAGGTAGCTCTATACCGTCTATAGTTATCTGGTCGAGGCAGCCTACGAACCCCAGACTGCTGTGGGAATAGGAAGACATACCTGAGGTACGTTCAATGCTGATTGTAGCACCTAAGTACATAAAATCCGAATCCATATTGAGAATATCATTGGCTCCTGGTGCTGCTCCAGAACTTACCTCACCATCCACACTCAGAGTGGATATTGTACCTTCACGTGTGAGATTGATAAAGTGCCATTGGTCATTGTTTACTCTAATGGTTGATACTCTCACCAGACCCTCGCCACTACCACAATCCCACCGATACTGAACGTGGCCACCTACAACCTCTAGTATGCTATAGTCTACATCTCCAGCAGCGTAGACAAGTGTCCCCACTGGGTTCCTGGTACGCAAGAAGACACTGAGCACTAGAGAGCTGCTTTCCGCCTGTCGTGCCACGCTGTACTGAGCATAACTCTTGCCTCTGAAAGACAGCGGTCTTAGTGGGTAGTGGCATGAAGGACTGCGGCACTTCGTGAGATCTACTTGGCAGGAAGGTCCCGCACGCCCCGAGGGACATTGACATGTGTACCCTCGAATGCTGACGTCAGTGGGAGTACATTCCTCGTACTCAGCACAAGGGCGGTGGCCACAAGCATTCACAAGGTTTTCACATTCATCACCACCATAACCCTGGTCACAAAGACATCCAGCTTTCTGAGCAAATCTTGGTGCAACCAAACTTGAGAGTTGAGTGTTAAACGGAACAGAAACGTCGTCACTGATCTCTACCACGTCGACACATGCTCCGTGCCCACTGCAGTCTGTCTCAGTCGTGCACATTGAGCCCATAACTGCCAATAGTCGCAGACCAACACTCTTCTTTACTTCACTTTTCTTAAGGTTCAGCTGTTTAAGCAATTCTTCTCTTGAAAAGAATGAATCATCAGATTTTTTTACGACAATTAACACATCTAAACTTCTTTGGATATCTCTTTTTTTTCGTTGTGAGTCATAATCAATATTTTTCATTGAGTGGGAATGCAGAAGTGCTGTTTGGAGGCTAATTAAAATAACAGAATCTTCCCCAATAGAAAACTCAGACGCTATTGCTTTCAAGAAAACTTTTTGATATCTTGAGAGGAATTCGTCTGGAGAAAGTGGTCCAATTTGAACAATCACTGAGTTGTCAACCATTTCTTCGGTGATAACTGAGACTTGGACAGAGGCCTGCACGGTGCGGTGGTACCGGCCGTCAGACACACTTACATTGACGCTATAATTCCCTGAGTCCAGGGGAGTCAGAGCCACAAGCGTTCCATCTTGTCCATCAATGTCAAAATATTTGATGGAGCTGATCTCTCGGGGGTAGGGTGCTATAGAGTACTGAAGAGTATCATAAGGATCTTGATCTAAGGCAGTAACCCGACCGATGATGCCCCCAGGGAAGGCGATGCGGTAACTGATGATAGCAGCATTGAGAGGGAAGAGTGTTGGTGGGTAGCGGGACTCCTCCACCACTGTGACGATAACGCGGGTGTTGGCGTGAAGGGGCGGTGTGCCACTGTCCCATACTCGCACCTCCACCACATATTCGTTCTGAACCTGGTCGATATATGGAATCATGTGCTTAGTTCGTATGTTAAAAAAATCGACAGGTGCATTTCTATGGTACTTTCAAAAGCAAAAACTATTGAAACTTTATCCTATATTGCAATTAAAATAATTTATTGGCAAATGCATAATGCTGTGTTAATACCTAACCATAACTAGGAATGTAATGTCTCATATTTGAATAGTAAGCAAAATATTTTAGATTTAGAAATAGAAAGATCATTTGACAACCTACCAAATGGTTGAGTTTGTTGGTGGCGAGCCTGAGGGAGCCGTCCTGGTCGAGGGTGAAGGCCCGGTTGTTGACCGCATGGTTGGTTACCTCCCAGGTGAAGGGGGCGCCGTTGGGCTCAGCGTCAGCATCAGTGGCCATCAGACGCAGCATTGAATACCCAACTGGTCGGTTCTCCTGTGTTCATACATCCAAGACATGAATATATTATTGTGTGCATGTAAAAATTGTGGAATATGGCATAAAGTTCTCCCACTTTGTTACTTTTTATGGAATTCCCGCTTAAGTAACAAATATATTTATTCAGTAAAAAAAAAAATATATATACTGTATTACTCCAAACTCACTGTTACAGTACATTTGGTACTGTATATACAAGGTGCTTCACTTCATGATACAAAAGTAATTTGATCTCTGTTTTGCAATAAGATATTCATTATAGTACACAATCAATCGGCCAGTGATTACAGTATCTTAACTCTTCGCATAAATTCCTAAAAAGTTTCTCGCAATGAGAAATAAAAGGTATTTTACTTGTAAATTAATTTTCTATACCATTGTACTATAAGAGCATTTCCTTCTTGTAAGATAGTAATGATCTGGTAAAATATCACCACACTTTTCTTTACATATATATATATCTTTATCACCGGTTATGTTGATGTTGGACGATTTTCTTTCTCAACCTGAGCCGACAATTTCTAACTGTTGATCAATAATAGTTTCATTTTCTTTAAAATATTTGTATAGGTATTATCAAGTTACCCCGGCAACGTTCTTTTATCCAAAATTATCTATAATGTTGATGTACTTTAATGGTAAATGAAAGTTTCATATATTTTTCTCATACACATTACACAGCCATTTTTTTAACCCTTCCATCACAATTTATAGGAAATAGGAAGTAGGAAATAAGAATTATACAAGATACATAAGAAACTGTGTTAGTTAAAATATTTGTAAAAATTTTCCTTTGAGTGTTTTGTATTCAATTTCTTTCTATTTTCATTAAAAGTGAGAGTTAAAAAATATAACACATGATACGAAAAATTTACAATAGCCGAGTTTGTTTCCAAGCAGTAGATGATAGAAAGCATCGTCTTCCTATATAACTTTCACATCAAAAATAACCTGTCATGTCGCTTTCATTCACTCCTTGTTTATACTTAAAATTATTAATCCAGTCAGGGCTAGAACGAGCAAGTGTTGAAATGGCCAGTTCAGAAGATCATAGGAACTATACTGTAGTTAAGATAATGCTCGAGAACCAAAATAGTAGTATTTACGACTGTAGAGATGTATATAAATGTATATATGAAACAAAGAAGTATGTGTGTTTGTTTGTGTGTGTGTGGTGTGTTTGTGTGTGTGTGTGTGTCTGCACGAGAATCTCTGAAACTACTTTACCGATCTGTAGTGATGATGGATGGTGTTATATGTAGTGATGATGGATGGTGTTATATGTAGTGATTATGGATGGTGTTATATGTAGTGATTATGGATGGTGTTATATGTAGTGATGATGGATGTTGTTATATGTAGTGATGATGGATGGTGTTATATGTAGTGACTATGGATGGTGTTATATGTAGTGATGATGGATGATGTTATATGTAGTGATGAAGGGTGGTGTTATATGTAGTGATGATGGATGGTGTTACATGTAGTGATGATGGATGGTGTTATATGTAGTGATGATGGATGGTGTTATATGTAGTGATGATGGATGGTGTTATATGTAGTGATGAAGGGTGGTGTTATATGTAATGATGATGGATGGTGTTATATGTAGTAATGATGGATGTTGTTATATGTAGAGATGAAGGGTGGTGTTATATGTAGTGATGATGGATGGTGTTATATGGAGTGATGATGGGTGGTGTTATATGTAGTAATGATGGATGTTGTTATATGTAGTGATGATGGGTGGTGTTATATGTAGTGATGATGGATGGTGTTATATGTAGTGATGAAGGGTGGTGTTATATGTAATGATGATGGATGGTGTTATATGTAGTAATGATGGATGTTGTTATATGTAGAGATGAAGGGTGGTGTTATATGTAGTGATGATGGATGGTGTTATATGGAGTGATGATGGGTGGTGTTATATGTAGTAATGATGGATGTTGTTATATGTAGTGATGAAGGGTGGTGTTATATGTAATGATGATGGATGGTGTTATATGCAGTGATGATGGATGGTGTTATATGTAGTGATGATGGATGATGTTATATTTAGTGATGATGGGTGGTGTTATATGTAGTGATGATGGATGTTGTTATATGTAGTGATGATGGGTGGTGTTATATGTAGTGATGATGGATGGTGTTATATGTAGTGATGATGGATGGTGTTATATGTAGTGATGATGGATGGTGTTATATGTAGTGATGATGGACGATGTTATATGTAGTGATGATGGGTGGTGTTGTATGTAGTGATGATTAGACAATAAAATAACAGTTTAATGCTAAAAAAATATACTTTGCTGTACCGTTGTAGTGAAAAACATGGTGGAATTTACATACACCGTTAATGAACTATTGATGGAAGAGGAAGTTTTGGGGACTGAACAGTGAGACAATGTGGAGCCTCCCGGAGGGTGGCGTCCTACCGTGGCCTGCGATTCTGCTAGTAAATTAATAAATAAGATTGTCGTACTGTCCGATGTGTTATGCTTCGAGACTTGAGTGTCAGAGAAAGTTAACACAGTATGAAACACAGTGGGTGTAGTGTATTTCTGTCAAGAACATGAAGTAATGTAAGGCCGTGAGTACAAATATAGTAAAAGGAGTGGACCGCTAATTACAGCTAATTACACTGAATACACATAATGATCTGATGAAATGTTGAAAAAAACAAGCGAATTTATGATGGTCTGATGAAACGTTTGACAATAATACACACAAAAAAAAAATTCAGCTTTGTTGCTGGGTCAAGTATAGGTCACAGGTACTCGAGATAACTGAAAGATGGACGAGGTGCTGTTATATACCTAGGGGTGTGTGGCAGACAGCAGGGAGGTGTACTTCCATGCTCTCTGATGAGAGGAAGAAAAACATGGACCTGCCAAGATTGTAATGTGTGTACCCGTTTGTGTTTATGATTACTGGAGATTATCTTGCGGGGTTAGTAAAGAGAATAAAATGATCAGTGATAGCAAAGGAGAGGAATATTAAAGGTTGGACAAAAAATAGAGGACTAATTTCTTACATGATATGAATGAACTTGGCACAGGGAATAAAGTGATAGCGTTACGAAGTTCACACGTGATTCAATGATTCGTGTGACATGTAGGGAAATTCATACTTGATACATCTTACTTATTCTACAGTATAAAGTTACCTCACTATGGTCAGTTAGGGATTATGCCAATTTAGAATTTGATTTATAGACTCCTTTGTTTTTCAGCTTCTTTATAGCTGCCAGTAAATTTTATTCAGTCATGGGTCATTATCCCCCATGGAACAAACACCTGTGAGCCTTTTATCATACTAGGCTTAAATTACCCCTTTTCTAATCTTACATCTTACAGTTTCTTCCCTTCCTGTACTAAACTGTAACAGTTCTGAGTTCATACACAGTACTGTAAACACACATCAGTTATCATACAAATTTATCTGATGATTAAAAATTTATATTCTTCGACCTCTGAAAAACTCTTTAATTATAAGAATATATTCCTGGGTGATCGAGTATATTAATAACGGGTGACTTACCTGAACGACGACAGTATAATTATCCTGAGTGAAAATTGGGGAGTTATCGTTGACATCACCAATGATGAGCTCCACTTGGGTGACGGCGGCGTTGGAGGGAGAACCCAAGTCTCGAGCACTCACGGTCAACACATACTTCCCCACCTATGACGGGAGTAATCCATTCGTCAACAAACCCAGTAAATATGTTTGCTTATGATAATACTATTACCAATGTCTCATTCACATACAATAAAATACTTATATCTCTCTCTCTTAATACATTTTAATGCCACATCCATCGTCGTTTCCAATGCACAATTTTATTACCATTACGAATACTTATACTATATTACATTATCATATTACCTTTTCTCTGTCAAGTTTCTTCAAGACAGTAATGATGCCGGTGTCTTGATGCATATCAAAGCAGTGGTCGTCGTTGCCTGCCTGGATGCTGTAGCGGACCAGGCTGTTGACGCCGTAGTCCACGTCGCTGGCCGAGATCTGCAAAACACAGCCACACCCAATGTAATGTGAGGAAGGATGGGGTGAAGGGATGATGAAGGAGTATGGAGCTGGAGGGATGACGAAGGAGTATGGAGCTGGAGGGATGATGCAGGAGTATGGAGCTGGAGGGATGAAGAAGGAGTATGGAGCTGGAGGGATGATGAAGGAGTATGGAGCTGGAGGGATGATGAAGGAGTATGGAGCTGGAGGGATGATGCAGGAGTATGGAGCTGGAGGGTTGATGAAGTGAGTAGGGAGCTGGAGGGATGATGAAGGGTATGGAGCTGGAGGGATGATGAAGTGAGTAGGGGAGTTGGAGGGATGATGAAGGAGTATGGAGCTGGAGGATGATGGAGGGTAGGGAGCTGGAGGGATGATGAAGAGGGGTATGGAGCTGGAGGGTTGATAGAGTGAGTAGGGAGCTGGAGGATGATGAAGGAGTAGGGAGCTGGAGGGATTATGAAGGTAGGGAGCTGGAGGGATGATGGGAGTATGGAGCTGGAGGGGTGATGAAGGAGTATGGAGTTGGAGGAATGATGAAGGAGTATGGAGCTGGAGGGATGATGAAGGAGTAGGGAGCTGGAGGGTTGATGAAGTGAGTAGGGAACTGGAGGGATGATGCAGGGTAGGAGCTGGAGGGATGATGAAGGAGTATGGAGCTGGAGGATGATGTAGGTGAGGAGGGAGCGGAGGGATGATGAAGGAGTATGGGGCTGGAGGATGATGAGGGAGTAGGAGCTGGAGGGATGATGAAGGAGTATGGAGCTGGAGGGATGATGAAGTGAGTATGGATCTGAGGATGATGAAGGAGTATGGAGCTGGAGGGATGATGAAGGAGTATGGAGCTGGAGGGATGATGAAGGGTAGGGAGCTGGAGGGGATGATGAAGGAGTAGGGAACTGGAGGGGTGATGAGGTATGGAGCTGGAGGGATGATGAAGGAGTATGGAGCTGGAGGATGATGAAGGGTAGAGAGGGAGCTGGAGGGATGATGAATGAGTATGAGCTGGAGGGATGATGAAGAGTATGGAGCTGAGGGATGATGAAGGAGTAGGGAGCTGAGGGATGATGAAGGAGTAGGGGAGCTGGAGGGATGATGAAGTAGTGGGAGCTGGAGGGATGGTGAAGGAGTATGGAGCTGGAGGATGATGAAGGAGTATGGAGCTGGAGGGATGATGAAGGAGTATGGAGCTGGAGGATGATGAAGGAGTAGGGAACTGGAGGGGATGATGGAGTATGGAGCTGGAGGGATGATGAAGGAGTGGGGAGCTGGAGGGATGATGAGTGAGTAGGGGAACTGGAGGGATGATGAAGGAGTAGGGAGCTGGAGGATGATGAAGGAGTATGGAGCTGGAGGGATGATGAAGGAGTATGGAGTTGGAGGGATGATGAAGGAAGGTAGGGAGCTGGAGGGATGATGCAGGAGTATGGAGCTGAGGGATGATGAAGGAGTATGGAGCTGGAGGGATGATGCAGGAGTAGGGAGCTGGAGGGATGATGAAGGAGTAGGGAGCTGGAGGGTTGATGAAGTGAGTAGGGAGCTGGAGGATGATGAAGGAGTAGGGAGCTGGAGGGATGATGAAGGAGTAGGAACTGGAGGGATGATGCAGGATAGTGGAGCTGGAGGGATGATGAAGGAGTAGGGAGCTGGAGGTTGATGAAGGAGTGAGGAGCTGGAGGGTTGATGAAGGAGTAGGGAGCTGGAGGGATGATGAAGGTAGGGAGCTGGAGGGATGATGAAGGAGTAGGGAGCTGGAGGGTTGATGAAGGAGTAGGGAACTGGAGGGATGATGAAGAGTATGGAGCTGGAGGGATGATGAAGTGGTAGGGAGCTGAGGGTGATGAGGAGTATGGAGCTGGAGGGGATGAAGGTAGGGGAGCTGGAGGTTGATGAAGGAGTAGGGGAGGATGATTGAGTATGGAAGGATGATGGAAAGTGGGAGGCGATGAGCAGGATAGAGGGAATGACGAGACCTGGAGATATTGTCATGAATTATGGAGGGATGGTGAAGGAGAAGAGTAGGATGGTGAGGTAGCATGAAGGCATGGTAAAGGGGTGTGGAGAAATTGAGGGATTGTGAAGGAGTTTAAAGTGATGGTGAGGGAGTATGGAGGGTGAAGTGGTATGGGGAGATGGTGGGATGGTGTAGGGTGAAGGGTATAATAGATTGGTGAGGGAATGTGGAAGGATGGTGAAAGTGATTGGGAGGGCTGGTGAGGGAGAAATGGTGAGTGAAGGAAGTACTAAAGAAAGCAGGTGAAGGAGTATGGATGGGCAGGTGGTGGCTTTTGGTGCGATAATGAGGGTTTATGGAGGGACGGTGAGGGAATTCGGAAGGGAAAGCACACCTGTATAACGCTGGCTCCCTGCAGCGCGTCCTCCCTGACGGTGGCGGTGTAGGAGGGCAATGTGAACACCGGGGCGTTATCGTTGACATCCGTGATGGTGAGGTTTACAAGTGCTGTAGCTGAGAGAGGCGGCGTCCCTCCGTCAGTAGCCACTACCGACGCCACCACCTGTTGTACGCGTTCGTAGTCCACCGGGGCCCTGATGTTGATGACGCCTGGGAAGGAAGGTGCGATTGTTTGTTTACTCTGTCTCTGTCACCTGTCAATCCTCCAGTTCTGACATGTGGCGTACTTGGTAAAAAATTATTTGCACAATTATGTGCGAAAAAAAATGACACCACGAACGAAGGTTTTTGATATGGCATAATTGTTTTTCACCAGTCACATTGCAACGAATTAATTTTATATTTGAATGAAGTAACTAAATTCGGCCTACCATAATAGGTCGGAAATGTACAATCACGCCTACCAACCGTAGTGAGACAACAGGATTGTTCTGTTCGAAATTTATCGGATCCCCAGAAAACTTTATTATCGAGTGTACAGTAATCTACTAGTAGCGCACATCTCGGGTGAATAATGTTATAATTTTTATACTTTTACTTGTATATGTCGCTGATTATGAGCTGTCTTTCTAAACTAATGTGGTAAAATTAATAATTTGCGTATATGATTGCTAACTAGACATAATCCTGACAGTTTGTCCTTGTTCAACCTTACTACTGTCAACCCATGTTGTACTGCTTCTTTATTATATTTATGTTTTTCAATTCCACTGTAATTTATGTATATACTTATAATATAAAAATATAAAATAATAAAAATAATAATAATAAATACAATAAATAAATATTGAAGTGATAATTTTGGTAACATTATGAGATGTTCTTATTACCACCATGCTATTGTACTATTCCAGATGATACTAAATGTTACATAATACTTCCTTGAGATAAATGTACAGTATATATCAGGTGCCCAAGAGAGAGCTCAGGTTCTCAACTGGCTCAGCCATGTTAATATTGTTATTATTATCCACTCTGTATCTGTGTTTTTCTGGCTCAATAAACTGTTTCAATTCAATTCTGTTTCAAGTCAATAATTGAACATTCACAAAGGCTACATGGAACACGAATTTTTGGTGATAATATACTCGTACACTTGTCTTTATTCACAATGACCAAATGCCACAGGTTAGATAATAAATATTATTATCTACATCAAGTAAACGATGTCAAAATAAAAGAATGTATTCGCCGTCATGTACAAAATCAAAAAGAGAAATATACCTTTGGTGAATGACATGGGAAAGACGACGTACCACAAGTATATTTATACACAGGAAGTAACCAACAGTAATTCCCCCATCATTCACCTATGTTAGGACGAGCCACACGAATAAAGCGTTGATTTAACCCCATACAAATTCTGTATTACTGAGAATTCCTAATTTATGAATAGGGGTGTTATGTTATATCTCTTTATCTTTTAACATCCAAACTTAGCTCACTGTTCATTAAAGGTATCCTACTCCATGATAGTAACTCATACCGGTAATTGTTACTTCAAATCTTACCAGTCTTGGGATGTATGTGAAGGTATTTCTCTGGTGGTGTGCTGAATGGAGTAAGAAATCTCAGCGTTGATGCCGATGTCCTTGGAGGTGGCCATAACACGCAGAACCTCCGTCCCCACCACCGTGTTCTCTGCCTGTCGTCTCATGAAGCTTCCTCACAAACTCCGGAGCATTGTCGTTGATGTCTGAAGAAACACACAAGACAACAAGTTAACAGTGTCCACTAATTTAGAGTGCGTTAAATTAAGCTAAAAACAAGGCGTCATATCGTGTTTTGACTGAGAAAAATAATTATTTTCTTTATCACATAAAAAAATAATGAAGCATCACAATGGTAACTTTGATGATTCTTAAATATATTCCACATGATTATTTATAATGTAAATAGTCACATGGTTGTGTCTTATGTAAGAGAACAGAGGCAGGATGATAGTGATGATTAGAAAATGCCTTGAATAAAGACATTAACATTAACGTGCAATTTAAGGTTGGTTGTGTGATAAAAAAGTTCATAATATCTACGGACGAATCAAAATATGGACAATTTGTAGACAGTAAGATCATTCTATTTCTGAAAATCATAATTAATAACATAGCAAAACAATAAATAAAAAGCTTTTAAAATATTCGATTTCTTGAGTATATTGTATATCCTCTCACTTATCAATATAAAGTTTGACTTGTACTGTATATAACTAGGGGGAAACAAAATACAAAAACAAATGTAACAAAGGTGTGACGAGTTATTCAGTGAAGAACAAGTACTGTACTATATTGTACCTGAGACGGAAGTTACATCATGCAGCGACGTGGTTGTGTCCAGATTCTTTAAGCCTTACCACTGATTTATCTTTCCTCTCTATATTTTCAACACAATTACCCCCTATTCTTGATACACTCCCAGTTATCTTCACTCAATCCATTCCAGCGACATTTTCCTTCCTATCCTAATTAAAGGCATCAAGATAGTGATACAAAGTTTTGGCTTACCTGAGACGATAACAGTGAGCTGTGTAGTTGAGGAGAGCGGTGGGGTGCCCTGGTCCATGGCCCGCACAGTGAGTGTGTATGAGTCATGGTTCTCACGGTCCAACGGCATGCTAAGCTCACTACAATCTCTGTTCCGTCAATGGTGAAATGACCGTCAGCAGAATCCACGAAGTTATACCGTACGCGTCGGCTGATACCTGTAGGTCAGGATGAGAAGCACAGGTATTCATTGTTGATCTTACTATGATTTGAAGATTTACAAATTTTTAAATTATTAAATGCAAAGTGAAGGATTCAGAAGAGTACACAAGAAAGAGAACTGAAAAAGAACCATAGAAATCGTAACTGAAATATTTTAAGGTGATCGCTCACACGATAAGATAGGATCGATAGGTTTATAAGACAGATCAGGAAACGTTCATAAATAGTAAAAAGTGCGAAACGTTTACAGAATTAAGCAATGTCAGATTAATTTAAATAACATTATCGAGGTCAAATTAATTTATACAGTATCAGGAACATCAACTACATTCACACAAGGTCATGAACGTTCTACTACTATCATGAAGGTCAGCTACACTAAACAACATCAAGAAACTCATCAACATTTATACAACAACAGAAAGGTAAAAATACAAGATAACAACAAGGTCTGAAGAGCCTGTACTTCATGGGTAATCAAAAACGTCCTCACTACATTAAAAAAAAGTCAAAAACACTTAAACGTGATCACTAAGATGCAACAAAAATCGTTCATAGATTAACAGAAGTAAAAAAAAAGTAAACAACATCAGAAAGCATCAAAAGAATTTGTATCTCATTATTAAAGTACAAAAACGGACAAATCAGGAAGGGCAGCGGACTATACAATAAACAGCATACATAATCAGCAAAGTTAAAATGTCCACACTGTCATAAGATCAGAAACTTTTTTAAATCTTCAGCAACTCAAAAAAACATTCACACACGAGTAATAAAAGTCAAGTATATATAGCAACAGGAGAGCAGGATCACCTAGGTCAGGGTCGGTGGCGTGCATCTTGAGGACGACAGTGTTAACAGGGGCATCCTCGGGCACGGTGGCAGTGTGAGAGAGCTGGCTGAAGGTCGGAGCGTTGTCGTTGATGTCGGTGACGCGAACTTCCACAATTACCTCACACTGCCACTCAGCGTGTTCCCAGTCCTCCACCACAACCTGTGACCACATAAGAGACATGTGTGAGAAAATACAGTTGTCAGTATCTCTCGTGATACTTGCTCAATATTACATGTCTGGAACAATAGCAGCGCCTTCCCCTTCTCTATATACACTTTTCAGGTCCTCCAGGGGCCCTCTAATGATATAAAACTACCATCCTAATATTAGAAACAAGTTACTGGTTAAATAAACCTAAAGTAGTTTATCTAGGGAGGACAATCATTATTTCCACCGAAATAAATTCATTAGTGCAGTCGCTGTGAATATTACTGACAATTATCAAAGGTTAATTCACATACTCGTTTTAATAAGTACATTTACGATTTTATGTGAGACAATATGACACAACGGACGAAGGATTTAGACAACCCCGCTGAGACAACATTATTATTTTTTTCTGTAAGCGAATTAGTTGCACAACACTTAGTTATGACCCAGAGCAGGATGCGTCGTTTCCTCTGTCCGACAGCTTACATAAATCATTGGAACCGACGTCGAAAATAAGCAAATGTTAGGCAACACGAATGCAGTAAGCCATATATACTGTACAGTACGTCTTTGGCTCTCACTAAATTGAAATTAAAAATAAATGTCCGGTAATAAATGTTCCTTGAGTAAGAAAGAGACTGTCAGCTACAATAAGCGCTGACGATTTATCAGTTATATCCTGCATTAATATCTGACTTATGGCAATTTCAATGTTATAGATTAATTAACCAGTGTGAATAGTAATGTAGGTATGTTTCGGAGACATCCATATGGCTTATAATAATTCTTATTCATTGTTATTACCATTGTTATCATCAACACCATCATTATTATATTAAATAATATTGTTATAACTATCAATATGAGCATTATAATTTCAATAGCATTACTGAATAATGTTATTGCAGATCATTTGAATAGTGACTGACGTGTGGACACAGAGGATACAAGTGGCTTTTAATTTATATTATCTTTTCGCTCCCAGCACACACACACACACACACACACACACACACACACACACACACACACACACACACACACATTCCAACTGGAAGATTTGGAAAAGTTTTCATGGAGTTAAAATTCAAAATACGCTTCAGGATGGAGAGTTGAGCTTCCGGGAGGATTAGCTCACGCTCTCCGTGTAAAGTTATATAAATTGTAGATAAAGACAACCGTATGAAACTTCTTGGCAAATTTAAGTAAGAAATAATAACTCTAGGGGAAATATTTCTTTGAATTTTTAATATTGTTGGTAGCACAAAAGCCGCAAAAATGTTACATTATGTGTAGATGAAATATATCGTTGTAAGTGTATCTCGCGACCACACTGATGTACACAGACACGACCACACTGATGTGCACACACACGACCACACGGCGTACACACCCTCGACAACACTGATGTATACACCCGCGACCATAATGATGTACACGACCACTGATGTGCACAGCGCATGACCCACACAGATGCACACACGACCACAATGATCTACACACACACGACCACACTGACGTACACACCCTCGACCACACTGATTTACTGGACACACACACCCACGACCACACTGATGTACACATGACCACACTAGCAAGAGAATCCAAGGCGAATCCCAAGGATTTCAGGTATATAGAACAAAGTAAGGACAAAGTTGGGCCTTTAAAGTCAGGGAGGGGAGAAGTGATAAATGGCAGTGAAGAAATAAGCAAAGCATTGAACATACTTCTTATCAGTTTCACAGAAGAAATTCGTGAGAAATTCCAGAGGTGGAACTGATATTTAAGGAAAAGGAAGAAGAGAAATTAAAGAATATCACTATCAGAAAACAGGATGTTCTTAAGAAGATAAATAAACTAAAGAAGAAAAAATTCCCAGGGGCCGGATGAAATTTTCCCTCGAGTCTTGAAAGAGTGGGAACAGATTAGACCCCTCGTAAACTTAAATACAAATTATTAGACACCGGAGTTGTGCCAGACTTGTGAAAACAGGCAAATGTAGTACCCATATTCAAAAAGGAGACAGAGCATCATCAAATTACCGGCCGATCAGTTTGACGTCAGTAGTGTGAAATTTCTTGAATCAATTAAAGCAGATAGCATCCGATCGCATCTAGAGAAAAGCAAATTGATCTACGACTCTCAACATGGGTTTACGAAGGGAAAATCTTGTCAAATCTGCTGACATTTTTTAGGAAAGTCTTCGAGGTAGTAGATAATGACGAAAATTACGATGTTATTTACTTAGACTTTAGCAAAGCATTTCAGAGGCTTCTGAGAAAAATTAAGGCTCATGGTATCAAGGGTAAGTTTTAAATTGGATAAAATCATGGCTCACCGATAGAAGGTCAGCGTAGATGATGTTAAATCTGAGTGGGGCCATTTAACCAGTGGGGTTCCCAGGGTCAGTACTAAGGCCCACTCTTGTTCATAATCTACATAAGCGATCTAGATACTGGGATCAGCAGTGACATAAGCAAATTTCCGGATGACACCAAAAAGGGCGGCAGATTAATTCAGGGCAGGATGCAAATGCATTACAGGAGGATCTAAATAAACTGCAGACATGGTCTGAAAAATGGCAAATGAAATTCAACACCAATATGCGTGCTTAATATTGGAAAAACAAAACTGACAATGTATACAGCCTAACAACATCAACCTAGAAGTCGACTTGTGAAAGAGACCTAGGGTACTTAGCCCGGACCTACGGCCGAGAAAACAGTGCGTTAATGTTCGAAATAAGGCAAGTGTAAGTAATAAGAGTGCAGAGGTCTTATTGCAACTATATCTTGCGCTAGTCAGGCCGCACCTCGATTATGCGGTTCAGTTCTGGTGCCCTTATTATAGAATGGATATCAACTCACTAGAGTCGGTGCAGCGAAGAATGACGAAAATGATTCCGGACTTAGAAACCTTCATATCAGGATAGTTTATAGAAACTAAACTTGCATTCCTAGAAAGACGAAGAGTGCGGGGAGATATGATAGAAGTATTTAAGTGGGTGAAAGGAATCAATATCGGGGATATAGATAAAGTTCTTATAATATCCGAGCAAGATAGGAATCGGACAACGGATTCAAGTTGGAAAAGTTTAGGTTTAGGAGGAGATAGGAAGAAACTGGTTCACAAATAGGGTGGTGGACGAGTGGAACAAGCTTAGCAGCTTTGTAGTAAGTGCGGGAACTCTGGAAAGTTTCAAAAGGAGGCTAGATAGATTCATGGATGATAGAGAGTGGTAGTAACTCTCGGCAGGAGCTGCCATGCACAGGCCAACCGGCCTATTGCAGACGCCTTATTTTCTAATGTTCTTATGTAATGATACTGTACGCACACACGCGACCACACTGAGGTACACATACACGACCACACCGATGTTCACTCTCACGACCACACTGATGTACACACTCACCCACGACCACACTGATGTACTGTACACACCCACGACCACACTGATGTACTGTACACACCCACGACCACACTGATGTACTGTACACACCCACGACCACACTGATGTACTGTACACACCCACGACCACACTGATGTACTGTACACACCCACGACCACACTGATGTACTGTACACACCCACAACACTGATGTACTGTACACCCACGACCACACTGATGTACTGTACACACCCGACCACACTGATGTACTGTACACACCCACGACCACACTGATGTACTGTACACACCCGACCACACTGATGTGCTGTACACCCGACCACCCTGATGGCTGTACACACCGACCACACTGATGCTGTACACACTCACGACAACACTGATACTGTACACACCCACGACCACACTGATTGTACACACCGACTGCTGATGTGCTGTACACACGACCACACTGATGTACTGTACACACTCACGACCACACTGATGTACTGTACACACCACGACCACACTGATGTACTGTACACACCACGACCACACTGATGTACTGTACACACCCAAGACCACACTGATGTACTGTACACACTCCGCCACACTGATGTGTACACACTCCAGACCACACTGATGTACTGTACACACTCACGATCACACTGATGTACTGTACACCTACGACCACACTGATGTACTGTACACACTCACGACCACACTGATGTACTGTACACACCCACGACCACACTGATGTACTGTACACACCCACGACCATACTGATGAACTGTACACCCAACCACACCGATGTACTGTACACACACGACCACACCGATGTACTGTACACTCACGACCACACTGATGTACTGTACACACTCGACCACACCGATGTACTGTACACACCGACCCACTGTGCCGACCCACTGATGTACTGTACACACCCGACCCACACTGATGTACTGTACACACTAGCGACCACTGATGTACTGTACACACCCACGACCACACTGATGTACTGTACACACTCACGACCACACTGATGCTGTACACTCCCGACCACTGATGTACTGTACACACCCGACCACACGGTGTACTGTACACTCCGCGTACACTGATGTACGTCACTCATTACACCATGTACTGTACACTCACGACCACACTGATGTACTGTTAACACTCACGTACACACCGATGTACTACACATTCACGATCCGCGGTGCTGTACACCCGACCACACCGATGTACTGTACACTCGACCACACTGATGTACTGCACACGGCACAGTGGTGGTGTCGCCTATATGTTGATATCAAGTATAACACTTCTGTAGAGATAATTTAAAGGTTCAGGAGGGTACATGGAGAGTGTTTTCATTGGATTACGTAACGACACACGAAATATCTAGTAGGAGTAATCTGAAGACCCACACTAATGTAAGGAATTTTTTGATAAATTTTCGAAGCTTATCACTATCATAAGTTCAGAGGAAACGTTGCTTACATTACAGGAGATTTCAACCTGATCTATTAAAATCAGAAACCGACACCTCATTATTAGACCTTCTTGCTATCTGTCATTCTAAACTCTTCTTCAACACTATAACCAAACCCACTGGTAACTGCACCTCTGCCACTGTGATAGATCATATC